TACATCATACATAATGCACCGCTACACTCTTTAAAATGCACCTGTACATTACCCACAATGCACCAGTTAACTAACCTATATGGATCTGTACATATAGGTTAGTACTTTGGTTATAATGCACCTGTACATACCCATAGTGCACCTGAACATTTAGCATAACACCTCTATAGTACACAATGCACCTTTACAGTACACAAATAGAACCGGCGCTTTATGCATTACCCGAAATGCACCTTTACACAAAGCTGTATGTACTCATGATGTAATGGTACATACCTTTACATACTCAAAATGCACTTGTCAGACAGTAGGATGGATGGAATGAAAGTAAAATGAAGGAAAATGAAAACAAAAGGTAAAAAGTGCAAAAAAACCACCATGAAAACAAACGCAGCGTTTCTCATAGCAACATAGAACGGTCTCAATAATAACAATAATAATATAATAATAATAATAGTCATTCTTTTGATAAAGTTATAACCATAAAATGTCTCTTACAGAAAACAGGAACGATAGATCATAATTCTACAGAATCAGAGCAGAGAAATGAGCTAAAATAAAAGAGGAGCGAAGTCTGGAACAACCAATCAGACGCACCATAGAAGGAGAGCCAATCAGATGCTCTGAAACTTTGGCTCCAATACTTTGGGTTTATGGCGTTTGGTGAGCCCAGTGTGTGTATTAGTGTGTATTGTGTGTGCATGATTGTGCGGGTGTGTATGTGTGTCGTAAGACTGTGGTTGCCTTGTACACTGGAGTTTCCAGAGCTTTGCTATGGCAATGGTGAGGGGACGTGTCCATGTGGAGGCAGGCCAATGATGATTGGGACTCTCATCAGCCAACCAGGGAAGCTTCCAAGTCAACAGCCAATGGCAAAAAGAAGCTAAAGCTCCAACCACACACACTTATCCAATAAGGCCATGCCTGCTGATCCAATCAGGCCACACCCACCAAGCAGATGGACAGGATGAGGATTTGGCATGAGAGCACAACACAGCAGACGCAATGAGCTTTATACAGCAGCGACACACCTGCAGGGGGAGAAAGAGAAAACACGTATGATTTAATTACAATACTGCAGCATACTGAGTAAATCAGCAGCAGCATTTACTCTTCACAGATTATTGCCAACATCTAACTGATTCGATGTCCAGCACGGTAGCACTGTGTGATCTCTGCTTGTTACCTCTTGCACTAGGCCTGCTCCAAGCTGTACTGAAGCTCGGGGGTTTTGTAGCTCAACAAAAGATCACTGGTGCAAGAAGACGGATGGTAACAGGAGGGAACGTCTGCTTCTACCTCACACACTGGGAAGACAGACACAGGGAATCAGCATAATCACATAGACTTACCTGGTATGGGGTTAATTGAGAAATTTATATCTAAATAGTTGTACGTGATTATTAACATGGAGCCAGGCTTGTTGCTCTTGATTTAAAATATAACTCAATGAAATCAATGCACTGCGCTTTAATTTAATATTGGCGAGAAACTTGCCTTCTGGTCTTTGTAGAGTTTACACCTGGCTAATAAATAATCCCTTCTGGTACTGAGTATATCAATTAATAAATCAATAAAATTAACTTGCTATGTTTAATATCGATATGTTTAAAATTTTGGTTAATTGAATAATGTGTGGGCGGCATGGTGGCGCAGTGGGTAGCACTGTGGCCTTCCAGTTAGAAGGAAGGAGTTTGCATGTTCTCCCTGTGCTTGCGTGGGTTTCCTCCGGGTACTCCGGTTTCCCCCACAATCCCAAAAATATGTGGTTAGGTTAATTGAATAATCTAGATTCCCCTTAGGGTGTGAATGTGTGAGTGAATGTTGCCCTGCGATGGACTGGCGACCTGTCCAGGGTGTACCCCTGCCTCTCTCCCTCTTGCCCAACCTAACAACGTAATTCTGTTTATGTTTGTTATTAAGTTACATCAATAATTCTTTACTCTGAACAGTTTTATATTGTCACGTGTCATATCCAATAGAGTTCCAGTCACACAAGTAAGTCCAATAGTAGCAGAGTGCTAGTCAGTGCTAGTGAATGTCTGAAGCCAGACACTTTTGCAAATACCAAAACATTGGTTTGACATAGTTTATTGAAGATTATTATGCTGTGCTTGACATAACCAATAACGAGGGTCCTGACTCATTGCAAGGGTGAATATTAATGACTGAAATCAGCTTTAATAAAGTACCTGGATCCTCCCTCTGCTGTAACTGCTGACTTCCTGTCAGAGACGATTGGCTGAGTATGTCTGACATGCGGGCGGAGCTTAAAGCCTTTCCTGCCAAAAGGCTCATCCCAGACATTGGTTCCACCTGCTCCTGCAGGAAGAGGTCAGAGGGTCACCATCACCCATGTTTTCCCAGAGCAATTTTTCAGTTTTTTAGAACTTAACTCTAAGCTCATCTAAAGAGACCAAACTTTGAGTGTGGCAGTAAATAATTGAATACGTTTTTAATTGTGTAATATCTGAATTGATTTGTACTAAAGCCAGAATACACATTATGCAGATGTGCAAAACTACACTTTGCCTTATTTAAAGTCTGATTCTCACCAGGCCTGCTTTTCGAGACTTTTTAAACATTACACAATTCTTGATAATTACAAGATGTCTGAGCAATCAAGAAACTTGTCAGAGAGCAGCACACTCACATAGGCGTCATCACAGGTCTGGATGGTGTGATGACGCTGTAATGATCCTCTAGCTCTGTAAACGTTCTGATCTTCCTCCATCACACGACACTCTGCAGGGTCACTACAGCAGTCTGTGATAAAGAAATGGGGAGAGAGGGATGCCCTCCATCATTTAAATTGAATCCATTTCACCCCAAAAATCCATATTCAAATATGACTGAACCCTGTTTTCCTCACCTCTGTTCCTCATGTAGGTGTGTCTATGTACAGGGGAGGAGCTTCCACTGAGAGGTGGAGCAACCTCCTGTCCATCACAGCAAGGGGTTGTGACCTTAGCCAGAAGCCCCTCTTGATAAGAGGATTGAGGCTCCTCCTCCATCCTCTCTGAGTGAGGGAGGGGTGGAGTTCTAATTTGGAGAAGATGATGATAGTGTAGAGAAGACAGCGCTTGCTGTGGTGGGGGAGGGGCTTGATGAGAAGGTGGTGGGGGAGGGGAGGGGTCAAGGTTATCACTCATTTGCTGGAGTCGGAGCAAGTCACTGTATTCCGAGGTAGGAGGTGGGGCTTGTGGAGAGGAACTGGGAGGGGCTTGTGATGAGAGGGGCAGGGTTTGACGCTGACTTTGACGCTTGAGGAGTGCAGCTAGCTCATTTTGAGAAATCCGCGGATCCGCATGACCAGTTAATGAGTGTCGTGGTGATAGCAAGCCCTGGAGAGTGGGTGTGACACTTGGAGGGCGGTATTCAATGGGCGTAGGAGAAAGAAGTGCCTGCTGGAGGGCGGAGGGATACCCTTCAAGTCCTGGCACCTTTAAAGAGGTCCCCTGAAGGGGGTAAGGATTATAGCCGGCCATGATGCCCGCGTCGTTAAAGAGATGAGCACTAAACTGATCATAGCCCGAGGGGTGGAAGCGGCTCAAGCTGCGACTGAAACACAACATAGTAGCAGAAAAATTACAATAGCCAAACCCACTTCAGGTTTACAAATAGAACAAGAAAATAGATTCTTTTTTGGTGAAGAGCCGCTTTAAAATAAGGAAGAAGACAAGTTTTTTTACTGAACCTTAAATAAAGCTATAGTTACATAAATTATTTTTAAAACACATTTTAAAGAGACCTTTCACCAAATCTAACCAAGGCTATAAAACATAATACTTTATTCTTTAAAATTATTCTAAGTACCTTCTAACAAACACCAGGTTCTTCTGTCTCCCTCCCAATCTTTCTAGAGCTGGGCGATCATCATGAATCATCAATATAGTATGAAACCAAAATCTTCCGAAACTACTATACATCAAAACAACGAGCACAACTCCAGTCAGAGCTGAAGGAACTTTATGTTTAAATGAACTACTGAGAAACAGATATACTGATGATATCCTGTATGATTCGCCCAGCGACGATACATATATTGGTAGCAAATGCACTCACATCAATACATGATCTTCATTCCTCCACGACTTGAGTGCAGCTCAAAATTTATACAATTCAATTCAAAAACAAAAATTGACTAAAAAATAATAATAATAAAAAAAGCCTGATGCAAAACATTGTTTAAACTACTGACGCACAGTTTTGCCAGCAATCAATAACTCCAAATAACCAAGAACATGCTGATGAAAGTAAGAATGACCTGATATTTTATCATGACGACACAAAATTGTTAGGTCATTGTTGACTCCTATTGGAAGGACCAATTGGAAAGCTTTAAATCTCAGCTTCAAGAATCAGACCCTTGCCTTATTTCAGTCACAATGGAAACATTATACAGCATCACAGACTCCCCGCAAACAACATGTTTACCCTATCAAACATTAAAAAAAAATTATTGACACTGGTTTGGTTCATATCTTAGCTTAAAAAATATCTGAGTTTCTCTAGTAAACATTACTACAGTTGGTTTATATAGCTCATAGTTACAAGAGGAAGCTTTGACAACATCAAAGTTCTCAAAACATCATGTTACCCACTGTGCCATCGTGCTGCCCGCATTCTTTCTCAACTTAGACACATAGACACAGTTTGGTATATATCACTTATATTGACAATTATCATACTTATATTTCTGAGTCTTCTTAACAACCAAACTGTTTACAATAGAAACGCATAGTTATAGGTTGGTTTGGATCACTCAAAGTTACAAGAGCTTCAAAACATCACTCATCCCTCTATAGCAAACAATCTTTTCACTTTAGCATCAACTTAGGAAGCATTCTTTCTCCACTTCAGAAATTAGATATGGGTTGGTTTATATCACTCATGGTGACACGGGGAACTTTTAAAGACATATCTGATCTCTGCCTAGCAACTAAAGCTCAACTTTAAAAAAAGAGACACCAATGCTGTCAAAGGGGATATCAGTAATAGCAGTGGTGGCCTAGTGGATAAGGTGATTTACTAAAGATCGAAAGGTCACTGGTTCAATCAAAAGCTCCACTGGGAGTTGAAGATGGGACGATTGTTGAAACTCTCTCCCACCTGTGACAACCATTACTGTGGTGGCTCAAGCTATGGCTGCCCACTGCTTCTGGTGTGTGTGTGTGCACTTGGATGGGTGAAATGCAGAGCACAAACTCCTAGTTTAAAACAATACGGTTTGTGTTTGATACGATTATTAAAAAAATAACTACACTACAAAGTAATGAAAAAATATGAACGTCTTTCTTGTCGTATGCATGTTTTGGGTGCCAAGCGTCACCTGTGCATCTCTGCGTTGTCTGCGCTCAGCTGTTTTCCTAGTACCCGGTGACAGGGTGTTGCTAGGAAACCCCTGTTGCTCGGAAGTTCCACCTCCTGAACTTGAATGGTCACCTGCTGAGGGGGTAGGGGTTGGGCTAGGTGGGCAGACCCAGGAGGCTGCTGATTTGCAAGAGCCATACGGGATAGACTAGAAGGGGACGGGCTGTCGCTAGAAGGCTGGAAGAGGCCAGAGCCATGCTGAAACTGAACCGCAGAGGGTCCACCTGTGGAAGAAGCCACAATGAACATTTGCTAATTATTTATTACAAGATACCACTTTTTTATTACTTTTTAATAAAATCATTTAAAAGACATTACTTTTTAATGTATTTGTACAACTCTTACACAAACAAACTTTTTACTGATATTTTCAATATCGGTCAACGAATGGAAAGATATTGACAAGTCCCCAACAGGTCAGGGATACAAACCGTGTGTCTGCATAATGGCCTGGCTCCCAGATGGAGGGCTCTGATTGGCTGATTTGAAAAGGTGGTTGCTTGGATGCGTCGGAGGAGGGCTGGAGGGTTGAATACGTAATCTGGGACAAACAACCAGAAATATTATGAGGATGGCTGACAATTTTTTTCCGTACATGTTAAAGATTAACTTCACTGTCCTGTTTCATGGAGTAGTGGTTGGCGAGTAGGACATGTACGCGCATTTGCACAGGGGATGTGGGTTAGAGACCCGAATTCACTGTCTTTCCCATCCTTCCCTCTCTCTCCATCTCACTTCCTGTCACTCGTCACTGTCCTGTCTTTCTAAATAAAGGCTACGGTCATAACAAAATCTTTAGAAAAAACAACGATGAACTTAATAGAAGTTTCCCTGTGTAAAACTCAAACTTCCTGTAGCAGCACTCTGTTTCCTCTCACTCACACATATTACCAGAAAGCACGAGAGATGCAGTCAGGGCAGAACAATCGACATCATATCTGTGCCATTTGCAGGACTTGCCATGTTTATATTTCGTTTTGGGTCCAATTCTGTTGGGTTCATATTGCATATTTCCAAACTACATTCTGTAAGACTGTGGAGTCGCTGTTTTTCTGAGAAGGGTGCGAATGTGGTGTCCTCCATGTTTACTTCTTCTGAATCATGTTTCAAGGTAACATTAGTAGTCAAACACCTCTATGGGAAATATGGGTGTACCTCTGAAGCTGGTAGGTCAGGTGGCTGCTGGGCTGGTTTTCTCCATGTCCTAAAGACAAGGCCTGAAAACAAAGAGTCTCTGATTAAAATGATTTGCTCAAAACAGATTTGCTGTATACTTTTAACACGTTGGCAGCTCAGAAAGAAACCACACACATCACACATTCACTATCATCGCCTGTACAATTCCACTGATATACCACCGTAATGGTATTAATGAGCTCTGGGGGCTCTTATGATTTGTGTTGCTAATTAAATATTTCCCTTTACATTTCATCTCATTGATGGTATTGTGTCTCAGGCCTGTTTTGATCACAGAAAACAATCTTGGGACACCTGTGAAAGTTGGGTGACCCGAAACTACTAAAGGTGGGTCATCTACATAATTAAGCAGAGCACCATTTTAAAGGAATATGATGAAAGAGGATCTCTGTGATTCTGAAAAGTATGAAATTTCAATGCCTTGGACAAATTTCACAAAAACCCAAGCGTGATCTCAGATTTGTGGATGATTCATAGCACAGACTTTCCATAATAAAACCATCTTCAAGCTGCTTTCAAATTAGGGGGTCTATTTCAAAATATAAAGTGACCAGTAAAAATGTTTTAAAAGTTGGAAAAAATTGGATCGGAAAAAGTTGTATTAAAATTGGATTGAAATAATTTCAGTAAATTTGCTGCCAACACAACAAATTACAATTTTCAATTGTTTTACAACCTATAGTAATTTGAATCTTAGTGTGCATTATAATTTATAACAGTGAATTCCAAGTTCTTGATTTTGAAGAAACTACTGCTTTATTTTCTTCAATAAACTTCTAGGCAATAATTACATCAATTATTTAGGTAATTGAGAAAAAAATGGTAATCACAAAATAGTTTGGAACACAGTGTAAATCTAATTCTGAATACAATTTAAATTATAGAATTAAATATTTAAATAATTAAAATATAATGATATTCCTTAATTGTACTTTCAGAGAAATTAAAGTACAGACAGTAGTGTCCATTCCTCAAATTCCTTGGAATCCCTCAAGAGTTTCTGTGCCAAAGTGTGAGGACCTGTATCTGCTGGTGTAGGATCTGCTGCTCCTGCTGGTAGAGCATGTGCTGCTGCTGTGTGTGTTCCATCAGACGCTCGTCCTGTGGAGCCGCATACATCTTCTGCAGCTGCTCACACTCCTGCAAACAGTGTGAAGGTTTCACTTTCCAGACCCCACATGTGTCCAGTGCTGCTGTGGGAAAGTCTCTACCTGTTTGAGTTGTCGGATCAGGCTGCTGTTCTCCAGCTGAGCTTTGAAAGCCTGAATGGACGCGGCTCCATCAGAGAAGCGCCGAACAGGAGAGAAGCGCTCCAGCGGAAGATGAAGAGTGTTGCACTCCTTATACGAGGACCTGCACGCATACATGGTAAAACACACAGCTCTTGTATTCATGTTCGTTTTGGCTAGACTGTTCTTCTTTTGTGGACCGAAAACAAAATGTTGTCTTTTTTTATTGACAACAGGAACCAAAAAGCTACATAAAGTAATCCGGAGCAGCTCTGTGTGTGAGTGAGAGACCCTCACCGGCTCCTGTTCCTCTCTGATTGGTCTCCTGGATCATGGGATGTATGTCTCTTCGAGCTGTTGGCCAGATACCTGCACCACAGAAGCTAAATCAGCGCTCTGATTGGCTGCTAAGGTTTAAGGAGTGTTCCAGTTGGCTGCTGGCATTAAAGAGTGCTCTGACAGGCTGCTGCTGCACCTAAAACATCTTCCTGTCTGCATGTTTCATCTTATGAGCACAAAGGAAAATATTGCGGTTCATTTTGGTAAACAGGTTCACCTGGTTTATGTTCAGAAGAAAAAAAAAACAACCTTTATCTCTGGGTGAACTGCCCATTTGAAATAGCAGCAGTGGAATCAGGGCCATGCTCTCAGCCAATCGGATCACAGAACCTCAGTGGCGCAGAATTTGAGCGAAGCAGACACAAGCAAAGCCACAAAAGGAGAGGTCAAAGGTCAGAGTAGAGAGGAATGACCAGGAGGTTTTGATGCTTACACACACGCAGAGCTGTTAAATAAAAAGAACAGCACAGTACAGCATCCCCACCAGCCCCTGGGGCAATACCCTCAAATACGCTCTTCTGACGCTTGTCAGCAAGCACATCATATTCTGCAAGAAAGTGCACACGTAAAAGAGTCTGTCGGAGAGTCACTACATAATGGAGAGCGAGCACATATGACAATCAGAAGGAGAGAGACCGTGTCGGAGTCTGAAGGTAAAAAAGCAGAGAGTCTGTGGGAGAGGGTGCATGTTCAAGTCAGTGGAAGAGAATACACATCTGTGGTAGAGCAGGACCCTCAGAGAGTCTGTGGGAGAGCGTGTATGTCAGAGTCTGCAGGAGAGCATGCACAGTTGCATGTCTTTGGGAGCGAGTGCACAACAGCAAGTCTGTGTGAGAGTGGGCATGTTGCAGAGACTGTAGTAGGAACAGACTCTGCTGGAGAGCACCCATGTCAAGAGCATCTATGGGAGAAGCTGCATATCTGATTACGCGCAAGAGGGTGATTCAAATCGGAAAGTCAAGTCTACGAGGTTGCAGGATAACAGACACATCCACGAGTCTGCGAGAGAGAGAGAGAGAGAACAGCAAAGAATCTGTGGGACATTGGGGACAGCTAAGAGCCTGCAGTAGAGCGGAGATAGCAAAAACCCTAAGGGAAAGCGGGAACGCGTGAGAGACTGTGGAAGAGTGCGCATGTTATAGCCTGCAGGGGAGCACCCACGTCACAGAGCCTGCAGAAGAGCGTCTGCCGGACAGAGTGCTTGAATCATGGGAAGAAACAGGAGCGTCTGCAAGCAAACACAAATTCCATACCTCTGGACAGCTTCTGGGTCTGGTTCCGCGTCTGATCCCTCCTCATCCACCGGAGCCACAGCAGGAATCGGATGCTGAGGAAGACATGCACCCTTCAAATGATCATTTTCAAGATTTTACCTGCAATATTTCAAATGAACTGAATTGTTGACATTAAGTCAGTCCTGGGATATCTGGAGTTGTACTTGTGTAAAAGGGTGTTTAAAAGTGCATGTACCGGACTGCTGACAAGGGGTGACTGCCCGCGAGGTCTTTTTAATAACTGGTGCGAATGCAGTTGGATGTTTGCACCCCCATCTGAAGCTCTTCGACCCAAAGGACCCATTCCATTGAGCAGCTGGAGAGCCGGGGGCTGCAGCAGACACTGCTCCTGCTCATACAAGGGGAGACAGAGGTTAAAAACACATGTTGCCAAAACATTATCCTCCCCTGTTGAGCGAGTTTTTGCACCTTGTACTCCAGCTGCTGCGAGGGCTGGAGAGTATGTGTGTGCATTAGGGGCATCTGTGCAGGGGTGTGGGGCAGCAAAGGAGGGAATGGAGGCTGTGGGGCAACTCGAGCAAACCCAGGAGGTAGATTGTGAAGATCCTCCTGCAGCTCCGCCCTGACAGAGAAAACAAATACAGTTGGGTGAGTCAAACACATTCAGAGTGAACTGGGTGGAGCATGGGCTCAGTGGGCAGG